TACTTCATATTCATTTACAAATTAGTGTTTTCATGAATCTTGGTATGATTTCTGAATAGAGAGTCTCGTTTGTAATCACAATTGATTGATCACTGGGTGGTGATCAATTTCATGTGTGTCAAGTCGTTATTTAGTGCAGACTGAATACTATCGACCATGATGCAATGTGGTCCTCAGTCTAGGTGTTTTAACACTGCGCGCACTATATATTGAGATTAAATGGTGGTTGGAAGTAGTCGACAGGAAACCCTTGATCCGGGTCTCGTGCTACTCGGCACTCGTCAGCAAGGTGTACCTGTGACACGGGATCGAATTCGTCAGGGAGCACCAGTTCACTCGAGATTACAGGTTGTACGATACTAACAAATGAGTATTTAAAAAGATGATTTTCGATCTGTTACTTTAGATTTGTGACTGGTCATTGATGAAGCTAATTCCTTCTATTTATTTTATCAAATGACTGTAAATAAATACACAACTCGACTACATGATTTAACTTGCTCTAAGGAACTATCATCCTCTAAAGAAATTCATTCGACAAGGTTAATATTATAAGTTATTCTCATATGAAAATTTATTTTGTATGTGTAATATCACTTAAAGGTTGTCAAAGATAGTTTAGCCGTAGATTTCCGCTTTTTAAATCCTAGATAGAGCCTAGATTAGAATTATTCGAGCTTCTCGATCTAATCACTTATACAATATATATATATATATATTTTGACGCCGCATGCTATGTATAGTAGAGATTTCAAGCCAAGAAAACAAAAATGTTGATCGTATCCACAATATCGTAGTAAATATTTAGTAGACTGATGTTGGAGTTCTTCTTCTATCTCTCTTCCAGTTAATCAGTTCAGTTTGATTATCAACAAGCTAACAATTGACAGAACACAGGAATTGTGGCAAAACATCTTTGCACTATGTAGGACTCATATGCTTGACTAAGTGTTGTATTGTAGTTATAGATCCAGTAATGAACACCAAATAATCAGCAAATTATGAATCATTAAATCTATTCTCAGTGATGAAATAACGGTTTTCCAACTCCTCTAGGTGCATCCTCCATATCCATGCCCGTTGCGAGAAGGCAGTGAATGGAACTTCTCTGACAGTGGTAGTATATGTGCGGCCATATGTTTAATAAGCTAGTGTGTAATACACATGTAACCATAACAAATGTCCAATTGACTAAATCTGTTAAATTTTCTCATCATTATAACTATGAAAACCGTATATAAAACTAAACTTTGTTTACATATGCTTACACAGGTTTTGGTGTTCTAATGAGATTGAATGATTAATAAACATAAAGAAATTTTGATTAAATTAAGATTTACAATTTTTCAGTTACAATACATTATTGTTTCATGCCAATATTCTGTCAATAAATTGATTCAGTCTGATGGTAAAAATGTTGAACACACTGTATAATTTCCAGTATGTTCATAACTACTACAAGGTATGTGAAGAAACGTGTGACAGTTCTAGCTGGCAACTTTCTCCTAGACTAACTGACCATCTAGTAGTGAATAATTGAGTATTATCTTTCCTACAAAAATAAAAGGATTCAATGGAAACTCAAAGACAGGAACATTTATTTTAACAGTACTGATACACGTTGGTAATGGGCAACTAGCCATAATTCTATATGAAGAGATTTCTATCGTCCACCTCTAATCAAATAGTACCGAATTGTGATTTGTGTTGATTTTTTGATATGTAATAAACGATGAGTTACAAATAATTCTTTGCTTTTCCTTTTCAGTGTCATATCATCATAGACAAGTGTTCATTCGGTTGTTTGCACAACAGCTTTAGTTATAACATAAACAGTAACAAATTCAAGTGATTCATTATTTTATCATAATAATAATGATAGTAATCATAAATCTTTTATGTTTGATTTGGACAATTTTAGTGTGTAAAGTAAATACTACTTTCTATTGTGTTAGTCAATCAAAATCTTGAAGTTAACAAAAACACAGATGCATAACATCTTTTATATCTGATCTGATGAAACTGGGTTGAAACTCAAACTGTGCAACTGAAGGAATAGATTTTATGAAGCAAATAAACAAAGCTGGTATTTAAACTAACATGTTAAATATCCGATAAACAAAACATGGAACATGAAGTTTGTGCTGATGATATCTTCCAGAAGAACGATGAAAGCTTCACGAACAAACCATCCAGCTCTTAGAATAAAACTCCACCAAAATGAAATAAGGTATTTCTTGATGTTGTTTTTACTGTGACGCACAAGTCGAATATATTTATTTTGTCCATCGTATCTGTGTCCAGCTATTGATTATAGAACATTCGAAAAGCATTTTCTTCTCTAAATTACCACACAGTTTTATAACCAACACTTTTTTCTTTCAAATAAATCTAAATTCATTATTTTCATCAAGTACCATTTAATGCTAACCTCTTAGTTTTCTCTCATTCAGTGTTTGTCTGACATTTTATGTTTCTCAACTTTTGAACAGTATATTTGATAAAGAACCGATGGAATGTGAATAACCGTAGAATGCAGGATGAGCGTTTCGTCTCAGTCGGGACTCATTAGGTGAATACACTTATATCTAATACTTGATGTTCACCCCAACACTCAAGCTCAACACAGTTTTCTTCAAACGCCATTACATTATCCACTTAGCTACTAAGTCCAGATTAACATTTGAGCGTGTCCTGAATTCCACTGCTAGTCACATTCCATCTATTCTATAGCAATTTATGTCACCATGACTATATCGTGATAATTCACAAACGATCCTCAAATATCAATCAAGATTGATCAAATTTCAGTCGAACTTATCCACAATGGGATAAAACAATCCATTTCAATTGGAATTCAGATATCTGAATTTTAACTAAAATGGTCGATAATATCGAAATAGATATTTGAACTGATAATACTTGAATTAAGTTATTATTATTATTATTAGTATTATTGGGTTTTAATCCCGCGATCGGGATCGTGGATGCGCAATGCAGAGGAGTCCCACAATAGGATGAAACGGCCGTCCAGTGCTTCCAGGTTTCCAAAAGTGGTCTCACATCAATCGGTTCATGATCTCAATCAAAATCTTAATAATCTCCACAACCCCTATATCAGTAAAAAATTATTCAGATCAGTAGATATGAATCAAACAGGAATAATTAAATTAGTAAGTAATAATCAACTAGATTATACTTGAATTAGTTTAAAAGAGTGAAGAGCAAATCTTATGCATAGAGGTTAGTTAATGATGCTTTATTGAAACAAAGATGATGATTTTGATGAAAAGAGAAGAATGATACACAGAAGATTTGTTGGATGAAATGTTAGAATTGTTGGATGAGAACATGTATCTATGCATGATGTAGAATGATATGTATATGTTGTATTGTAAGCGATGGGAATTGAATGGATTGAGTATATCATATGAACATTGACTACTTACTCTTCTTCGTCCCCTAGAATTCAATATAAATTACATTTTTCAATATTTTAATTATATGGGATTTTCTTTCTGCAAACGGACTTACAATAAGCTAAGCGTTACTATTTTGATTCAACGAGAAAATTGTAAGTGATCAACATTCTTGATTTAATTTCTAGTTGTTAGTCATGAAATAAGAACTGCATTGAAACTTTGTATGGAGATTGTAAAGGGTGTTCAGTCGAGTTTCTAGGAATCTGGACCACTAGGTATTTCAAACCTAGTGTACGTGTGCAAAAACCGATGTTTTGAAACATCAGTATATTGATGACTGGGTGTAGTGTATAATTGTGTTGTTCCTCTTAAATTTGGAAAAACGTGAAAAAGTGATCAATATATTCACAAAGTGAAAAAGCAGTTGGAATCGTGATTCACATGATCAAGGATGTTAGATAATCCACAAAGTGCAATGGGAGCGAAACGTTCACACACGATCGGAATAAAACATATGTGATCAGAGTGGGTGTATGAACATTCATCGGTCATTAGGACACAAGTGATTATCATGATTGATTTGAGTGATTTATTACGTGACTTTCTAAACCTATTTTCCATAGACCACATTGCCATATAAATACACGTGCAGTTAAATCACACTTCGATTGGCGACTCCCACTAACATTGTCGAGTAGTGGAAGATAAACAGTCAGAGTGAGGAGAGTAAGTTGGCGAAATTTCTGTAACTGACGTGATGCTATTACTACTCTACTACATTCACGTTGACTAATACACATGAACTCACCAAGAGAGATATACTGACTACTCACAGGTCAACATTTCTCTCTCTTCCAGAATTGCAATGAAACTCATCGTCATACTACTACTGAGTGTGTTCGTCTTCGAACACCGACTGGTCGAAGCCTTATCAGTCTCTCCAGCGAGTGAAGGTAAGTGGGTGTGTTGTTGAGATATCTGAGGATGAGTGTCGACCGAAAAGTCTCTCAACGTGAATATATCGTTTATTACGCTTCAATTCATCAAGTATCACTGTTTGTTATGCACGTTATGTGAGGCATTGTAGTGGTTGAGTGTCTCGTTACAGACATCTGTGTATTATTGTTCGATAAAACGACGTCACAGAGACAATGTTCTGTGCAGTTGACAGACAGTTCTGAGTGACACGTGTTCCGAACATTTTCTTGAATTGTGTGTTATTGCTTACAGATGATGACCTCAAGATTTAACAGTAGAGCGTTATGTCGTTCCACCAAAAAACAAATAAACAAACAGGTCAACATCTGCACACAGTCAGTTGTGTTTGTTTATGCTCCCACATATTTCATTCATCAATAATTCCCTAACACGAAGTCTTGTTTTGTTATAGGACCGACCGTCATTGTTACTGAGCCACTGCAACAGGACAATGTGACGAAGGATTCTGACAGTGGATATGGAAGTGAAGAAATAGATCGGACAGACAGCACGAGTGAAAGTAATCACACTGATGCAAGTATATTAGAGAATGTTGGCGGTGAAAATGCCACACAATCACAATTGCTTCATGGCCATTACCGCCACCATCACAGCCACCATGGATGCCGTAGACACCATCATCATGGACATCGTCGCCATCATCACCGTCGTCATCGCCACCATCACCATCATCACCGTCGTCATCACCGTCGTCATCACCACCATCACCATCGTCATCACCGTCGTCATCACCACCATCACCATCACCGTCGTCATCATCACCATCATCATCATCATCACAGACATCACGATGACTGTCGTCATCACCACCGTCATCATCATCATCATCATCATCATCATCACGGACATCACCATGACTGTCATCATCACCATCATGACGATCATCACTACCGTAGAGATTGTTATTATTAATCACTCTTGTGATCATGTTACTATCAGAACACCAATTTGGTTGTTTCCGTGCTTCCTCTCGAATTACATTTAAATTATCCAACACGCTATCCGGACAAGTAGAACGTCCATTTGTGATGTTGTATCTAAATAATCCAATTTGTACTAAATATATATAGTTAGTCTGTAGTAATTTTCTATTCCGTTCTAATTATCGTAACAAAGCAGCTCTCTGAGAGAATGATCGAGTTAGTCATATAGCTGGAAAATCGGACATCGTGTGTTTCAGTTAACAAAGAAATTGCGGATACTGACTAACATTTACATATGCGAGATGTAAGTTATTGGTAAATAAAGTAGGTCATAATTATTCCAATTATATAGAATGAATTCAGTGTATATGACAGGTGGTATAAAAGATATTGTCTTTAAAATGTAACATCTAAAGTTGATAATAGTTAATAACTGACAAGGAGAATAAAGTCAATATTATGCTAATTGGTATCATAATTCAAATCAAATTTAACGTAGTATTCTACAACTAAACAATGATTTAACATATCCAAATGTTGATCTTCATAATTGAATTTTGAAGAACACGACCCATAACTTCTATGCCCAGCGATTTGCGTAAAATTTCATCACTTTGATAGTTGGTTTAAGTAGACTTGGAAATCGATCGTCAAGTGTTTGAAAGCTCTCCTCTTCAACACATTTCATCTATCGAGAATAGATTAAATTGTATTCGTAAAACCAGTACAGTTATTTGTGATTATTTTGATGATTGAGTTAGTAGATTGCTTTGAGTCAGTCACTTCAGATCAATATTGTAGCTTTCACTTGAGGAGAACTAAAAAATCTTGTCGGTTCTATGCAGATGTGTAGGATAATGTTGAGGGATAAACTAACTGGAACTTGAGATGAAATTAGGATTTCACTAGTTTGGATCTTCTACTAACAAGTACAAAAGATGGAACAATGCAAATGAACCTGTGAAGGAAATATACTCGAATAGGATATATGAATGCATGGAAGTAGATTTTATTACACACCGTTTCTTTAAGGCTAAGCATTCATATGTTGCAAAATCTATCTGCGCGCAACCCGATAATATTATTGACATCCAATTTAGACAGTATGGTGTTATGTACGATAAAGTAAAAGAAGTTGATAATGATTGTGAAACTCTCCCTGGGAATACTCCACGTAACTCATTGGTGGTCAGGCTGCTGATGGTTAAAATGTTGATTTTCATATCGAAAATTTGTTCATGCACATACTTTAGCTGTTACAGAGATTCTGCAAATTGATGACATTTTATCACTACTCCCACAAATATATTATGTCATTAACCTCAGTAATTAACAAGAATATTCTAGATATCTTATTAACTACCATTACACTCGGATAATTATGAGGTGGTAAGCTGTTAATTATGGTTAAAACTATGAGAACACTCTACTGACTTTCATTTGATCACTTCATTGATCATAGTAACACTATTTGCATGTCATGAAGTCAAGTAACATTTGCCAAATATTATGCATATGAACTGTTGTATTACTCTTTGTTTTATGCTTGAATAAATATCGAGATTTCAACTGATACTTTTAAAACTTTTGCAAGCCAGTCATTGTATTCGGTGGTATTAGATTGATTTACAAAGTTTTATAATGCTTAACACTATTAGCTTTAACTGATCTAATTGTAAAGATAGTAGACGCTAAATAGTTGTGTGTTTATAATAAATATATATTTGTTATATTCCACTGAATAGGAAAGCTGTATTTCTGATGTTTCATGACTTAATATAAGCTACTTCTTCAGAGTAGACAAGTAACCGGACTAAATTTACACAAGTTTAAATAACACATTTATGATCAAACATGGGTTTTAATGAAATTGTAGTAATTTAGTATTTGAATTCATGAGTTAATTGAAGCTAGACCATCCTGGAAAATCCAGATGCACTGGACAGTCGTTTCATTCTAGTATGGAACTCCTCAGTAGTGCGCATCCGCTATTCAATCTTGGGTTCAAAAATTGTGGAGCGGGATAGTGTGTGCGTTCTGCTGAGGAGTCTCATACTAGAATGAAATGGTCGTCCATTGTTTCCAGGTTTCCTATAGTGATCTAACTCCCGATGATTCATGAATCCAATTATTAAAGATCTAACACATTTCTAGTAATATAGTAACAAGAAATACAGTGAAGTTTGACATTATGTTATTACATTTAGTAATACGTAACATTACCTATGATTTATATAATGAAACTTCAATGTCATTACTAGTTAACTAATTAAGTCTTATTCATTTCAACTTTTATTATAACTATTGTGATGGGTGTTGCTTATATTTATGTAAGTAGTATGTGACGCGAGTTAAAGAACGTAATGTCTTACAGCAGAAGATGGTGGAAGATCAAGAAACGAAGAGTGGGAACACAATGCATTTTGTAAGAAAACTCACGAACAACGAAATGTGAGACAACGGATTGGTGACTACAACAGGAACAGTCCGGTTTGATATGATGGATTGATATTTTGCAAATAAACGATTTGCTATATGGATTTTCTATTTTACGGAGTAACTCTGTAATTTTGTGCTTAGTACAATTCGATTGTCCCCACCCGTGTTCTGTTCACTACACTATTACTATTATTATGATTACTTGGTAATGAAGCCAATTTCTATGAAACAATTCCAAGTTTCATACATAAATTTGAAATAACACACGATAAACGACAAAAGAGAAACAAAACAGAACAAAAAGAAGAAAAGAAAGAAGAACTATCATCGCAATTTTTTCTCTATGAAACTTTTCTTGTTACAAGAATTAGATGTTACATTTCCATTAATTAAATGAAATATTAAGCTTAAAATTATTTGAAACAATCGCAAAACATCAAATTTTCTTAATGAACTGAATATCATTTGATCTACGCTACTAAAACTGACAATAATTTAACATGATTTATGAATAGACCCTTCTTCACTGTTGATGGGATTCAAAGTAGACAATGTCAGAAAAATTATACTTAGCACTTTATTAGACTGTTTCAATTAGCATTATTTTATTCGAATGCCAAAGTAGTAATCTTAAATCTATAAAATTTTATTGGAGCTATAAGAAAATACAGAAACACGATTTGTAGCTAACAGTCTTTAAAGGTTTTGGTTGAACATGACCATGTACCAAATACTGGATGCAAAGCTAGTAACATATATAAATATGTATTTCTACTGAAGAACTTTATACCTTCTATTCCCTAGTTCTCTAGAGCAATGAAAGAGGCTTGATCCACTACAACTAAATGAGACCGTAGAACGTGAGCTGTAGAACATGGTACATCACATTATCAATGAAACCTTATCACTATTCAGATAAACCACTCTGGTTGTCAACATTTTAGATATTACACTCTAAATATTAAAATATGTCAATATACTAACAAACGATATCTGTTTATTTGATAGTTACGTCATTTTATATTGCAGTGGTTTTTTTAAAAATAAGCTAGGATGCACACTTTAGAGAATACATACAACGTCATTGCATTTAATAGAATCTAATACACATAACTAGTTCGACAATAGAATAGTATATATTACTGAAAACTTTCTTCAGTCTTATTATTTCTTCTTATGTATGTTTCTTTTCACTTTATTTCATGGATTAAACTTTGTTAGACAACTGTTGAAAACCGTGGATCTCTAATATGATACTTCTCAGCAGTGTACATTCACCAACTAAACAAGTATAGAACCCATGACTTTCAGGTCTCATAGAGAGTTCAATATTTTGACTACTGAACAGACATTCAATGATTTACTTGTATAACTTCTGTTGTTTTATTAAAACAAACTTTTATCTCTATTTTCAAAGTTTATTTTTTATCTCTAAAATGGAATCAGCATGTTAGCCGTAATGAAGCCTAATATTACTAACTGAGTAAATGTTGATTACATCAACATCAATTAGTAGGTACTGATGGGATTATTAAAAAAGAAACCTTGTGTTATTTAATCTTGACATGTAACTAACTTTTCGTCAGGTTCCCTAGAAAAAGGAACGAAAATTTATTTGAAGCCATATAAATTATTCCCTATTCTATACATTATCTTTTATATCTGATCAGATGTAACCGGGTTAAAACTCAAACTGTGCAACTGAAGGAATATATTTCAAGAAGTAAATAAACAAAGCTGGTATTTAAACTCACAAGTTGAATATTCGATAAACAAAACATGAAACCTGAAGTTTGTGCTGATGATATCTTTTAGAAGAACGATGAAAGCTTCACGAACAAACCATCCAGCTCTTAGAATAAAACTCCACCAAAATGAAATAAGGTATTTCTTGATGTTGTTTTTACTGTGACGCACAAGTCGAATATATTTATTTTGTCCATCGTATCTGTGTCCAGCTATTGATTATAGAACATTCGAAAAGCATTTTCTTCTCTAAATTACCACACAGTTTTATAACCAACACTTTTTTCTTTCAAATAAATCTAAATTCATTATTTTCATCAAGTACCATTTAATGCTAACCTCTTAGTTTTCTCTCATTCAGTCTTTGTCTGACATTTTATGTTTCTCAACTTTTGAACAGTATATTTGATAAAGAACCGATGGAATGTGAATAACCGTAGAATGCAGGATGAGCGTTTCGTCTCAGTCGGGACTCATTAGGTGAATACACTTATATCTAATACTTGATGTTCACCCCAACACTCAAGCTCAACACAGTTTTCTTCAAACGCCATTACATTATCCACTTAGCTACTAAGTCCAGATTAACATTTGAGCGTGTCCTGAATTCCACTGCTAGTCACATTCCATCTATTCTATAGCAATTTATGTCACCATGACTATATCGTGATAATTCACAAACGATCCTCAAATATCAATCAAGATTGATCAAATTTCAGTCGAACTTATCCACAATGGAATAAAACAATCCATTTCAATTGGAATTCAGATATCTGAATTTTAACTAAAATGGTCGATAATATCGAAATAGATATTTGAA